ATCTGCATGAGCTTTTTGTTTTGTTTTGTTTTGTTTTTTGTTGCTGTTGTTTTGTTTTTTGAGACAGGGTTTCTCTGTGTAGCTTTGGAGCCGATCCTGGCACTTGCTCTGGAGACCAGGCTGGCCTTGAACTCACAGAGATCGGCCTGCCTCTGCCTCCCGAGTGCTGGGATTAAAGGCGTGCGCCACCAACACCGGGCAATCTGCATGAGCTTTAAGGCTGTTGTATGCTGCCCTCACATCCCACTTCCTCTCCTGAGTCCAAGACAGTTTTCTCCTCTGTCCCTTCCACAGACCTCATTAGACAAAGTAAGAACGAGGACAACCCTGAGTAGCGTCAGAGAGTGACATCTTTTTGCTCCTCATTTCTTATTGCATCAAACCTCACAGCTGACCAACCGGTTTCCCCCACACTGTACTCCTGGATGTCAGCTCGTCTGATGTCTTTTAGGTGTCTGTGCTGCGGCTCCTACCTCCTGACCTCCAGAAGCTTCAAAACCTACATCGACCTCAAACAGACAGGTGTTGTAGCCCTCAGGTAACCAAGCGATGGGGTTGAATTTAGCCGAAGTTCCTACAAGATACTGTGTCCTGAGCCAATAGCTCCCATATGTGAACTACCCCTGAATTCCCCTCTCTGGATTTCATGCAGCTACTGTGCTATATTCTACAGGAGGGAGTCAGGCAGACTCCTGTCTGTTTCCATGAAGTGCTTGTCAGGGTCTGGAAGCCATATTCCCTTCCTCCTAGGAATTTCCGGGGAAATGTTTCCTGGGTGCATATATGAACACTGTAACTTAGTATGGATAAACACTGTAACTTCATACTACAAAATAGCTGGGGTGATAGGACCCTTGCTACATGACAGAAAGAAGGAAATGGCTAGCAACGACATCAGGCCTTTGTGAAACTTTTCAACAAAGCTGATCCTGATTAAATGTGCCCCACCAGTTCCCAAATCTACCAATACATACTTTGAGATCATATTCACTGCCCTACCTATGTCTCTATGATGCATTTGCCAGCAGAGAAATCCTCCCCAGCATTATCTGATTCCACCTGTTCCAGGACAGTGTGCTGCAAAAGGCTTTCATAATTAAGATGGCATCTCCAAAGGAGGTATAAGTTTGACTGCGCATTCCCACACTCCAGGGGCACAGCTTTATCCTTAGACCAGTAAGGCTGTGCGTCTAGCAGAGGTTACTCTGTTGGGTTGACTGTACACGGAGTAGAAGATAAACAAGCAGTCTAGGTCCATTTAGCGCAAATCTTGATAACAAGGTCTGACACCTAAGGCCGGCTATGGCCACCCAGCTCATGTCAGGACTTGGTCAGCAATGCTTTTTGGTAACTTGGAGCTAAACAGCACCACTGAACTCTGCCACACAGGCAGTATACTGTCCAAAACACATGGGTCATCCAAGAAACACAAAGCCAAATGAAGAGCGCTGGCAGACAGCATGGCGCCAGCTGGCCATGGGGCTCCAGACCAACATCAGTTTCGATAAATCAGTGACATCTAACTTCCCATCCTGCAGGGCGGAACTTGGGACCTACCACAGATGTCGCCTCTGACCACCTCCTCACTTCCTCTAGAGCTACTTTTCAGCATCTGTGAAATTTTAAATTCTGGTACAGATTCAATGCCACCAAAGGCCTATGATGCTATTGGTCTACCAACACCAGAGCCATAACTGAATGTAAGGCCACAGACAGGATGCACAGCCATATACCACACAGATCATACCAGCAGAAACCTCTGCTTATTACTGGCTTGGGGAGGGTCTACAGGAATCTTCTGAGAGGAGGTTACAGACATGAAACACACACACATGCGGTTACCGGTTAACACAGCACCAGTTTGACTTTGTTTTCTTACAAAGGGAACTCCAAAGTTTAGGCTGCAGTTCATGGTATATTTTTAAGTAGTGGATAAATCTTAAATACCATTGTTCTATTTAATTTATATTTCCCCCACCCTTGTCCTCTACCCCTCACTCAGACAGCTAAAAGAAAAAGCAGAGATCAACCTGAACCAATGATGATACTATACATTATGGGGGAAAGGCTAAAGAACACAACTACACCATTTGGTTCTTTTCCTTGAGGTAACTGATTGCAACATAATAAGGATTCCTGGGGCATGGTAGTGCATGCCATTAATCCCAGCACTTGAGAGGCAGAGGCAAGTAGATCTCTGTGAGTTCGAGGCTGACCTGGTCTACATAGTAAGTTCCAGGCCAGGACAGCCAGGACTATATAGAGAGACTCTGTCTCAAACAAACAAACAAACAAAAAACAAAAAATAAATAAAACAAGCAATCATAATAAGAATTTCTATTCAAGTGTCCCAAGACTTCACTGCCAGGTAAGAACTAAGGAAAATTATTGAAAACTAAGGTGTTTAAGCTGCTTTATTGGCAAGGAAGACACTGCCAATGAAAGCCACAACTCCTATCTCAACATGGGAAATTAAAGACTTTCAGTGCAGTGCTTCTGGGAGAAAAAAAAAATGCAGCATGAAGACATTGGTGCTCTAGTATATTCAAGTGGTCTACTAAACAATCACAGGCTGGGCGTTGGTGGCGCATGCCTTTAATCCCAGCACTTGGGAGGCAGAGGCAGGTGGATCTCTGTGAGTTCGAGACCAGCCTGGTCTACAAGAGCTAGTTCCAGGACAGCCTCCAAAGCCACAGAGAAACCCTGTCTCGGAAAAAAAAAATCATAGGCCCTAACCAAACCACAAAGGTTTTATTTGTAAAATATGCTGACAGAGTGAATCATGAAGTCACTCTGAGAAGCCCATGTATGCTGTATTACTAAATAAACCAAAGAAATGATAGCAATGCTAACGTATGGTGAAAAGACCAAAGACCTTGGTGAGCTTCGAGCTCATTGGCAGTCATTTGGTTCAGCTGCATCGTGGAAAGAACACAGTCACACCTATAGATTAGGACAAGTCTCTCTCTCTCTCTCTCTCTCTCTCTCTCTCTCTCTCTCTCTATGGCTGGTAACAAAGTAAGCCGTGCACATCCTTGGTCGTCTGAGGCGACCTTCCCACTACACTGGCTTGGCCATCCTGCCTAAACTACATCTGGTTTGTGGAAAACTTGAAGATGGTCCAGAGAAGAGCAACAAAAGTGTCTGGAAAAAAATGGAAGAAGGGCCACAAGGAAAGATGAAAAACAAATGGAACAGAGAAAACAATTCTGCCAGAGACGTGGTGGCTAGGTGACGGTTTCCACGATGCCCCTAAGAGTACATGCCTCTCCACACGTGCAAAGGATTTTAGAAAGCATCATAACCGTTTGGAAGCATTAAGTTCAAGGCATAAGTACATTTATTACATTGTTGAACACCACCACTATCACGTCCACCACCCTCTCTTTTCGCCTTGGAAAGCTGGAACCATCCTTCCAACTGCCCCTAGGCTCTGGCAGCCACCAGCTCACTTTCCATCTCCTCAAAGTTGACAGCTCAGGGTACCACATAAAGTGGAATCACAAAGGATTTAAGCTTTAGCAACTGGCTTATTCCATTAGCATAATGTCCCCACGTGCGAGTATTCTTCTTAAGAAGGCATTTAACAAGCATTAACTGAGGGTCATGACCAGCTGCTTCCCATCTTCCTTAAGAACAAAGAAACCCAGTTTAAGTTGTAGGGTTGGAAAAGCTGTCGTGTGGACACAAACTCCTTGGGAAAAAAAAAAAAAAAAAAAAAGACTATGCCTTTTCTCAACACTCACAAAATGGCCACAACAGGAACATGCTCGCATACACAAAACTGACCTGCAGGATAAATTAAAATTGTGAAATTCCACAAGCCCTCATTGAGCCGTTGCTTGTAATAATGTGGACTGTTCTGAAGAACATACCACCCTCGTCTTTGAAGATCATACAACTTACTCAGAAACAATTAACTTTCTCCAAGTACTTATGGTGCTTGTCATTTTTACCACAGTCCACGGATCACAAACAATGTTCATATTAAATGCCAATTCTTGTAAACTGTGAAAGGCTGCCTTCAGCCCTGGAATGAATCCTGAGTTCAAGAATGAACACAGAAAAGACATCACACTTATTGCTGGTTGTGGGTCAGTAAGAGACAAGCATGGTCGAGTGTGACAAAGCCATATTCCTGCGGCTCCTGTCCAGACTCTCACCGTTTGTGAGAGTGGGATACACACCTGAATCTCAACCTGGCCCAGCTCAAGCTCCTGCCCACTGCCCCTCCTCCACACAAGGTCTCTCCACCCATATCCCCTTCTTTCCTACATAATTCTCTTCCTTTTTTATAATTACTATCTTTACCCGCACAGCCGTTCAATCCTAGACCCTCCCCTCTTCTCTTACTGTCTACAGTCAGTCACTATTATCCCATGTAACTTTCCTTCCTTAGTCTGTTTTGTTATCTTTCCTCCATTCTCCTGTCAGTGCTCTCTGTCTCCAGATTTCATCATTTTTCACCATGGCAACAGCCACCAACCTATAACTGAAGTTCCTGTGCTGTTCCAGGAGCTTCCGGCCTCCTGTAGAAGAACCCTCTAGCCGACCAATCTGCTTGTCTTTCTTCTGTGCTTGGGATTCTTCAATGGTTCCCTATAGTGTACGGGGTGGAATCTAAGCACCATAAGGGCTTGTGAGGCTTTGGGCTTGGCCCATGAGAACAGCCTCTTCTACCTCTGTTCCTTTCCACTCCAGTTTCCAACAATAATAAAGTCTTCCAATTCCTGGGACAAATGATTTTCTCAACCACAGCCATGTCTGTGCCTCGTGTCCTTCCCTTTGCCGGCTCCCACTCCTACACCCCTGACATGGGGTGTCCTAGTTCACAGCCACTACCCTTCAAATCCCAACCAGTTCACAGCCACTGCTTCAAATCCCAACCATCATGCAAAGTCCTCTGCATTACTAGACTCTTCAGGCTGCAGGTAGCACACATACT